GTACGGGGGGGGGTGGGGGGGGGGGGTCACAGCCCACGGAGGATGAGCTGAAGGAGACAAGACAGTTAGATCCTGATTGTCATGAAAAAGCTCAGGGAATGATACATGATACATCTCCCTCCTGATACCTACCTGCAGCCTTTCCCTGCACAACGCCTGCCCCTGCACTGGTTGGGTGGACTTTGGGATGAGCAGTTCCCACACACTGTCCAGGTCACGATATGTCAGGCTGGTTTTCAGCATCTCACTGCCTTTGCTTGAGCTGTGCCTTGCCATGGGACCTGTCCCTTTGCAGCAGCCTGGGCCTGGATCACCAAATGGAGATGCCAGAAGGCTCCACCGGCAGCTGTATGACCCAGACCAGTGCTAATGATGGATGGATGCCATAGCCCAGCCTTGGAGGACTCAGCAGAGCTGCTGCAGAGCACCCACCCCTCTGTCTAAGGTGTCCTCTTCAGCTTTTTTTCTTGTTCCAGGTGGAAGCATTTAAGAGGCCGTCTTTTTCTGAAATTCTGGATGAGCTGGAGGATGTTGCGGAGAGCCTGGAGCCTAGAAGGGACAATCAGCTTTCAGGCTGAGCTGCCTGCCTCCTGTGAGGCTTGGCAGAGAATCACCCAAACTGTAAATTAGCTGTCTGCGGGGTCAGGAGCAAAGAAGGAAGGTGGAGAAGGGAAGAGCTAAGTGATGCTCTGGTGTTTATTTAATCATACTCTCGGTCTCTGATTTCTTGGATGGAAGACATGGTTAAAAATGGAGAAGGGACTTACCAAGGGTGTATTTTTCCTAGTTAAGGTCTTTAACAGATGGAATTAGGACACTGAGCAGCCTTTGTTTGCTTGTTAAAAGCAAATGATCCTGGAGGGACCTGAATTCCCTTCGGAATTGTTTTCCGAATCACTAACAGAAACATCATGCTCAACCTGCTTCCCTGTGCCCCCCAGACCCAGGGCCTTCCCCTTCTCCATCCCCATGGCCTTGGGGAATCATCTTTCAGGGCGCTGGGGTCTGTACAGTGTGAAGGAGAGGGACTTCGGGGTGCTTGGTGAGCCTTGGGGTCACCTTCTATTTCAAAGCCTTAAAGCACCTGTCCGGCAGCCTTGCAGGAACAGGTATGCTCTGCAAGGTCTCTGGCTGGGTCCCCTGGCAGCGTGCTCAGGGTGCACCCAGATGCAGAGGCATCCGGCAAGGCTCTGGAGAGTCAGCTGGAGCCACCCAAGGGGTGCTGACCTGTGCTGGCCAAGGCAATGGGGAGGGTGTGCCTTATCGAATGCAAACTAACCAACTAATATCTCCTCTCCGAAAAGCTTTGTCAGACATATGTCCCAGCATCATGGCAGTCTGGATTTCTCCCCAGTGCCACTGACTGGGGCTCAGAGATGGAGGGCTTTGCCTCCCCCCTTCTTTGTCTCACTGCAAACATGCCAACAAGCACAGTGTCAACAGCTTGTGAGGCTGAAACGGGAGAGAGCTGGGTCCAGCATCATCCAGCATCTCACCCATTGCTCTCCCTGGCCCAGCACCCGTCGCCTCCTTAGCGATGTGGGACAACCTCGTGGGCCCTGAAGTTCAGGCAGCCTGGAAAGGACTTTGGTTTTATATTGTGTTTTCTTCTGTGGGCCAGAGGAGGGTGCTGGGGCTGCTGATCCAAACCAGGGGTGGAAAGAATAATGGCTAGAAATGGTCTGGTCTTGGAGCCAGATTTGGTGTCATATGTAGCCCAGCGTTTCTGTGCCATGGTGCCTGCACAAGGGAATGTTAGTGCTGTGCTGGGACAGAAACACAGTGGAAGAGTGTGGTGCATTCTCACCAGGGATCATAAGGAATCGAGAGCTGGCATGGAACATACTGAATGGCACCAGGGTCACCACATCTTCAGTGGGCATCTGTAGCTCCTTATTCCTCAGAGGCGCCGTTTTGCTTTTGTGCTTGACTTACCTGCACAAGAAACCTACTCAACAGTAAACTGCCCAGCAAATACCTTCATCCCAGCTGGATATTGCCAGCGGGGGGAAGCAAAGCCTCGAGAAGTAGAAGACCAAAAATAAGGGAAGCTTTTCAACCTGGAGGAGGGAGAGTGGACACTTTTTGACTTGCACCAGTCTGGGGACTTTAGACCAGTGGAGTGAAGTGGACTGCAAGAGCAATGCAAACAGCGCTGATGTATGTTTGTATCTTCAGTGAGAGCCAGCCACTACCAGCATCACAACCACATGTTGGATGAAAATCACAAAATGTATATTTGGCTACCAGGAGATGGACCTGAGGAGCTCCCTGCTATCTCCCAAGGCTTCCCAGGCTCCCTGGGCTCTTGTTCCATAGAGGAATAGGCCTGAGAATGAGGAATCCAAAAGTATGTCCTAAGACCCAAAGCATTAAGGATACAAAGCCTTGTCCAAAGGCCACTATTGGATGAAGGACAGCTGTCCACCTCGCTCAGTCCCTGGACAGAAGCATTTCTTTCACAAAGCCTTTCCCCAGCCTTCCCCATGCTGCCTGGTCTGCCAAGCTGGAGTCTGTTCTTCCTCTATGTCCCCCTGCACAAGAGCAGACTAAAGGAAGATCCCTCAACATACTGGTCCCTTGAATGGCCTGTTATGGAGTGAAGGTGCCTTGTTCCAGGTGCACCCCCCTGCAGGACTGCTTTCCCGCTGGCCACCCCCCTACCAGGACCAGCAAGGCTTGGTGCTAGTGATGCCCTGCTGCAGACTGGGCTGATCCTTCCTCCAGCTGTACATCTGACTCTGGTCCTGCAGAGCAACAACTGTGGGTCTGGGACACAGTAGAAAAGACATGTGGAGTTGTGTATACTTTAGTGATGCTGTGGTATGAAGGAAGATCTTTTGGTTTTATTCATCTGCTCAGGGGTAAGAAACCTGCTCAAGGATTAAACAGATCTGTTGGGGGGGGGCGGGTGGTATTTTTTGCACAGAGCACAGACAATAGCATTAGCCAGCACAGTCTCAGCTGTGACGGATCAGAACTGTGTTGCTTCTGAGCTTGCCATATGCCCCATCCACTCTCATGGTGAGGCCACATGCTGGATCTCAGGTGACCAAAGGATATCAGATCCTTACTAGAAGGACCTTTGGTGCCTGCTGCAGAGGCAGGTGGGACTGAGACTGTCTGCAGGTACCATGTGGACTAGAAAAGCCAATGTTGAGATTCTGCACAGAACAGAGGTGGTCTGGGAATTTGTCTGGTACATCTCATGGACCAAGAGTTTCTCTTTACTGGTCAGAGCTGGAGGGAGAGGTGAGCGTAGGAAACCTGCTGTGATGCTCTCCAGGTAAAAGACCCTGTGCTGGGAGTGCAGGGCTTGGCTTCCCCACACCACTCTCATGCAAAGTCCAGGTCAATAGTTGAATTTCATGTCTCAGAGCCCTGGCACTGAACTGAAGCAACTGGGATGGTGGGTGAAGGGTTTGGGCAGCGCAGCAGGCTCACCTTTGCTGGACCTGACCAGGAGCTGCCTCCTCTGCCTCTCTTCCCTCTGCTGGCCACTTGCTCCGCGGGTGCTGACCGCATGGACCTGGTCATGCTGCGCCCCACGGGCTGTGCATTCCTCCATCCTCCATTGTGTCTTTATTTGTTTTTATAAATGTGATTGGGGAATAAAGTTTAGTGGTTCTTTTCCACATCAGCCCTGGCTTTTGTGTTTCATCATCCTTGGTCTGCTGAGTGGTGCTGCCGAAATGCTGTGTTTCCAAGCATAGTCACCAAACACAACTAAACTAACAGCTTCATGCTCCATCAGCATGGCTAGCATAATAAACACTCAGTTAAAAGTAATTTACACAAGAGTGTTACCTATGAGAGGTGGTATTTTGAGTCCATTGGTCCCATGTGCCCTCACTTTGTGGCAGGGTTGTCTGTGTCTTGTCACCCCTTCACGTCGGTTGGGTGGGCACAAGGTAACAGCAGCAGCACAAGCATAGTGCAAAGGGTGTTGGCTTTCGTCTTTTCCATCCTAGCGGCCCATAAGCCAAAATTACTAAACCACAGTGAAATTATTTCCCTTCCCCAGCTGCAGCTTGTTTTGTGCTGACCTATATATGGCATTAGTTAATCTTCAGATGCAACCCTCTCAACAAGGACACCTCAGAAAATCGGAGGAAGGTGTTCACTATGCCAGGATCACCAGGTCTTCTGCATCCAAACACAAATCATAGAGCAGCGCTGAAGCTCAGCTCTCTGAGCTCCTCATATGATAGTCGTCAGTGTTAGGTACAAAGACGACTTTTCCCTCCGAAGTCCAGTTTCTTGAAGTCAATCAGCTTGAAAGAGTGACATCTCTGGGCACTTGCACATGGCCAAAGTGCTGTGTTCCTCCCTGGAGAGAGGCTCTACGGGGCCTGTGGAGGCTGGTAGTAATCCCATGGGTGGTTTGGACTGGTGGGTCTTCCCAAGTCCCAGACAATGCAGGAGAGTATAGCTGGAGGCAGCCCTGATCTGTCCAGGAGGCGGGCCTCTGTGGGACCTGAGAGGACTAGTTTGGCCCTGCTTTTGCTTTAGAATCATAGAATCATAGAATGATTTGGGTTAGAAGAGACCTTAAAGATCAGCTAGTCCAACCCCCTGCCATGGGCAGGGACACCTCCCACTAGCCCAGGTTGCCCAAAGCCTCATCCAGCCTGGCCTTGAACCCCTCCAGGGATGGGGCATCCACAGCTTCTCTGGGCACCCTGGGCCACTGCCTCACCCCCCGCACAGGAAAACATTTCTTCCTCACATCTCATCTCAATCTCCCCTCCTTCAGCTTCAAACCATTCCCCCTCATCCTGTCCCTGCACCCCCTGATCCAGAGCCCCCCCATCTCTCCTGTAGCCCCCTTTCAGCACTGGAAGCTGCTGGAAGGTCTCCCCGGAGCCTTCTCTTCTCCAGGCTGCACACCCCCAACTCTCTCAGCCTGTCCTC